TTGTCATATTTGGTTTTTTGTTTTGAATATATGTTTATATGTTTATTTACATATATTTAAATATGTAATTTCTTTATATACACTGAAGATGGTCCGAAGTAGACCGAAATATTTGTAATTAAAACAATTTTTGTGTAAAAATTAAATAAATTAAACATTTAACATAGTTGAAAAAGTGTAATTTTTTGTATATTTTAAAAAACATTTTTATAAACTTATGTGTTGAATAAACAACCTAAGCCCGGTAAAAATATAAAAAACTAATAAAAAAAATAAATTAAAAAAAATATAACGCCAAAAAAAATTAAACAATTTAATAAACACAATATAATTAATTTTTTAAATTAATTTAATAAACACAATATAATTAATTTTTTAAATTAATTTAATAAACACAATAAAATTAATTTTTTAAATTAATATAACAAACAATGAGGTTTACTAAAAAAATAAATTAGGTCCTGCAGCATTTCCATGCGATCCTGGTATTTCCCGCTGTTAATATACAACTGTAGGGTTAGCTTACCGTACCAGTTACCGTTAGATGTACTTGCGGTGAATCCTATCGCTATTTAACTATATGCTTACTGTTCTCGATGATTATTTTATGTTGTTTTTTTTCGTTATTATGCACATATAATATAACGTATTTTGTTAATACGTTAATATATTAACGTTAATACGTTATTTTTTCATTTGAAAATCTAGCCATTTATACTGACATACAGGGTCAAAAAAAGTATTCGTCATTAACTAAATTTTTATAAAATAATGTAATAACAACAGAACGAAACAAAAAAATTAAAAAAATATAATGCAGTTTTCAACGTTTCTATTCTGTTTATTAGTTGTAATTGTGTTTACTCCAAAAATTTAAAAATAAAATAACAAAAAAGCAATTCTATTGCAAAACACCAAAAATAAAGCAGAAAAAGTATTTTAGTAATAATAACTAAAATTCAATATTTTGTTAAACGTCCTTTACGTTTTAGTACGTCTTTATAACGCTTTGGCATTGATTGGACTAATTTTGCTATCATTGCTGGATCTATATTAGCTCTTTTGTCCATTAAAACCTATTGCATCAGTTGCTAGTTTGAAAACCTGCGTTTTCTTAATTTGGACTCCAAATGAACGCAAAGATGTTCTATGGGGTTTAAGTCTTTGCGGAGGTGTTTTTGTGACTTTTTGGCAGTTATATAATACCCAAAGCTTAGTGTTTAACGGAGAATGCTCTGTATCATTATCCTGATAGAACTGAAAATCATTCCCAATGCCCTGTTCTTCTGCATTTCGCCTCAAGTTCTTCTTTAATATCGATATATTACATAACTTATGATCCATTATTCCACTTATTACTTCGATATTTCACACTCTAGATGTCGCCATACATCCGCAAATCATAACACCGCCACCACCATGTTTAACAGTAGTAACTGTATTGCGTTCTTCCAGCTCCATATTTTGCTTTCTATACACAATTACCTTGCCATCGCATCCAATAAGGTTAAATTTACTCTCATCAGCAAAAATTACATTGTACCAAAACAAATCTCTTTTACATAAGTCTTTACAAATTGTAGCCTTTTGATTCTATTGATTTTGTTTACACATGGTTTCTTTCGTGAAGTTCTTCCTCTATAACCATTAATTTAAAACAAATTTCCGCAGCAGAGGCGCCTGGGGAAACATGCTGCGTCAGGCCGAAACTCGGTAACGGGTTGTTATGGCGAAAATAAGTAAGTAAAACTCCCAACGTTTAATGGGAAATACTCAGAGTTACAAAACTTCTTTAGCTCTTTTAGTCAAATTATTGACAAAGAGTCGAGTTTGACTAACATTTAAAAATACAATCATTTATTAGGATGTTTAAAAAGACAGGCTTTGGATACAGTACAAGCATTCCCAATTACTAATGACAATTATCCAAAGGCACTCGAACGACTTAAGACGCGATAGGACAATAGAACATTGATTTTTATGGAAAATGTTTCAACATTAATGGAATTACCTTCAGTACTGAAACGGTCAGCAAATCATTTGAGAAGTTTAGTTGATAATGCATCGGCTCTATATGGTTCTCTCTGCTCTTTAGGCAGTGGCAAGCAGATTTGTGAGGCAATGCTGATTCATTTTATAATGCAAAAAGTCGACGACGGGACCCATTGTATATGGAAGGAGGAATCGGTAAGCTTAATTCGCTTCCAACTTGGGACCATTGTGTGGAAATACTTGACAGGCATTACCAATTTTTAAGTTCAGTAGAGGGTAAGTGCATCCAACAACAACAATTGCGTAAGGTTGTCAATAAACTACCAAATAAGGTTCGTAATAATCAATTCCCATTTTCGATAGCTACAACAATTAGAACCTGTTTATTTTGCACAAACAATGAGCATTTAATTCAAAATTGCCCTCAACTTTAAAAGTTAAATGTAGATGAAAGATTTGAGAAGGTTAAAGGCAAGTCGAAGCAAGCAACAATAGCGAACTGGATAGAAATAACATTCCTGTAGATAGTAATGTATCAAATGATTACAGAAACGAACAACCTCGCGGTGACATTTATCGTATCGGAATCAAGGCACCAGCATTCTGTAAGAGGGATCCAGACCTGTACTTCATCCAGATGGAATCCCAATTCAGAAACGCAGGAATCACAACTGATAAAACCAAATATGATCATGTAGTCAGCAGTCTTGACAGCGCTACTTTAAGAAATATCGCGGACATTGTTCGTGCTCGACCTGCTGTAGAAGAATACGAAGCGGTTAAGAAGCGGTCGATTCAAAACTTTGCAGACTCCGAAAATCGAAAACTGCGGCGACTAGTTCAAGAGTGCCAGTTAGGTGATAGCAAGCCAACACATTTGTTGCGCACCATGCGAGATTTAGCCAGCGGCGCCATGAATGATGGAGCAATAAAACAATTGTGGCTGGATCGTTTGCCTGAAGCAGTGCGAGCAGTCGTTTCAATTTCGGAGGATGACTTGGACAAATGTGCGCAACAGGTAGATCAGATGTTGGAAATGGTAAACTACAATTCTGTAGCTGTTATCAACACATCTGCACAGAATAATGATCATATCATGAAAGCCATAGACGCCTTGAGTAAGCAGGTTGCGGAGATAAAAACTGCACAAAAACGAAACAGAACAAGATCTCAAACTCCAGATCGCAAGCTACGTCATTCAACCCGTACTGATTCGCAAGTAAAACGTTATTCCATGTGTTACTATCACTATCGTTTCGGTGCGGAAGCAAAAAAATGTTCCTTGCCGTGTAGTTTCAATCAACAATGAAACCAATAGAGACTTTATCAGTGGCGGCCGATGAAGTCCAATTTGTAAATACGTCTAGCCGCCTGTTCATCACGGATCGAAACACACAATTCAAGTTCCTGATAGATACTGGAGCTGATACTCTCTCAATACTACAAGTGTCTTGATTTAAAAACTCCAAGCTACAATCAACATCGCGATCATTGTATGCAGCGAATGGTTCGGCTATTCCAACCTACGGTAACGAGTTGCTATCAATGAATTTGGGCCTTCGTAGGAAGTTTGATTGCAATTTTATAATCGAAAATGTTTCAAAAACAATTTTGGGTGCCGATTTCTTGAAACATTTCGGTCTTGTAGTAGATGTAAAACGTAGATGCATGAGCGATACGCAAAGAAAGTTGAGTACCCAATGTGCATCGGAACACACTGGATATGAGCCAGTCTTTTCCATTCAGAATGACCACAAATTCAAAGAGCTACTAAACCCATTCAAGGAGGTGACAATGCCTGTTTCATACAATTACAATAACGAGCCTAAGACTACGGTTCGCCACCAGACTATCACCACTGGTCCGCGTGCACGGCAGCTAAATCCGCAAAAACTACAAGCAGCCAAGCAGGTGTTCGAGTATATGTTGAAGCAAGGAATTTGTAGACCATCCAAGAGCGAATGGGCGAGTCCACTAAATATGGTGCAAAAAGGAAACGGATTGTGGCAATTATCGTCGACTTATTGCCCAAACAGTTCCTGACCGCTATCCTATTCCACATATGCAAGATTTCACACATTCGCTAAATGGAAAACGCATTTTTACAGCGTTGGATTTAGAAAAGGCGTACTTTACTATACCGGTAGCTGAAGAGGATAGAGAAAAAACAGCAATAATTACACCTTTCGGCCTGTACGAATTTAATGTGATGACTTTTGGACTTTGTAATGCAGCACAATCATTTCAAAGGTTCATGGACCAAGTTCTTTTCGGGTTCAAGTTTGCCATATGTTATATTGATGATATTTGCATCGCATCCGATAACATAGACGAGCACATACAACATGTGCGCAGCGTGCTACAACGTCTCCAGGAACATAGTTTGAAAATAAACATTGCGAAATGTGTGTTCGCAGAGGAAGAAGTAACATTCCTTGGTCATCTCATTAATCATAAAGGAATTCGTCCCCCAGATAAGAAAATTGAAACGATTGCAAATTTTCCAAATTTTATCGACATTTTATTCCAAAAGCGGCGGAAATCCAGGGACGGCTTCAGAACTTAATTAACGGTAACAAAAAACAGGACAGAACTGTTATTAAATGGACCGCGGATGCAGATAACGCATTTGCGGAATACAAAGAAGCCTTAATTAATGCAACAACAATCGTTCATTCAATTCCAGATGCAAACCTTGTACTTCACGTGGATGCCAGTAATGTAGCTGTTGGCGCTGCATTAAATCAAATCAATAACAGACAACTCGAGCCTTTGGGGTTTTACTCAAAGCGGTTGACGAATATTCAAGCCAAGTACATCACGTACGACCGTGAGTTGCTCGCGATTTACCAATCGGTTAAATATTTCAAACATGCGATTGAAGGTAGACGTTGTACTATTTTCACTGATCATAAGCCGATAACGTATGCATTTCGACAAAACCGGAAAAGGCATCGCCACAACAGCTAAGACACTTAGATTACATCGGTCAATTCACAACTGACATTATGCATATAGCTGGCAAGAATAGTCCGGTAGCTGATTTTCTGTCACGCATCGAAGCTATCAGCAACGAAGACCTAGTTGACTTTGATCAATTAGCAGAAAGCCAGAAAACCGACATTGAAACAAATGGTTTTCTGTCTAATAGTAATAAATCTGCACTTCAACTGAAATGGATACTCATTCCAAATTCATCTAAGGAAATTGCATGTGATGTATCATCAAATCGTGTGCGTCCTTTTGTAACTGAACAGTTTAGACAACGCGTCTTAAATTCAATACATAATTTGGCACATGCATGCTGGTCGGCGAGCCACTATTAAGCAAATATCAGAACGTTTCGTATGTTAAGCGAGTTAAATTATGTATTCCGTGCCAACGAGCAAAAGTCACGCAACATAATAGATCAACAATTTTGAATTTTGACGTACCAAGTGACCGGTTCGCTGTAATCCACATTGATCTCATTGGGCCTCTACCATTGTCAAACGGTTACCGATATTACCTTACATGTATTGATCGGTTTACCAGATGGCCAGCGGTAGTCCCTATCGAGGATATACATGCCAGCACGGTAGCCATAGCGTTCACCAATGGTTGGATCATACACTTTGGCGTTCCGAAGCAGATCATAACAGATCAAGGAAGACAGTTCGAGTCAACACTGTTTAATGAATTAGAGAAACTCATTGGTGCCAAACATATTCGAACTAGTCCACGTCATCCTCAAGCAAATGGTTTGATTGAACGTTTTCATCGGACTCTGAAAACTGCAATGAAATGTAAGCATGAACATCAATGGTCTGATGCAATACCTTTGATTGTGTTAGCGCTTCGAAATATCTTTAAAGACCTAAAAGTAACTACATCAGAAATGGTATATGGGACAACTTTGCGGTTGCCGAGCGATTTCCTGGAACAAGGTAATAATGATAAAATCCCAGAACATGAATTCGTGGAAAACATGAGACAGATGATGTCTCAAATACGTTCATTTCCTACATCAAATCACTTAAATGAAAGGGTATTCTTACAGAAGGAACTGCAACATGCTACTCACGTGTTTTTGAGGGATGATAGTGTCCGCCCACCATTAAAAACACCGTACGATGGGCCATTTAAGGTTGTGAGGCGTTCAGACAAGACGTATGATCTTCTAATCAAAGGAAAACCGGTGCGGGTGAGTGTTGATCGGGTAAAGGCAGCATTTTTATCAAGTGACAATGAAGACGTAAGCCCATCATGTACAGAAAATATGGCAGATACTCGAATGGATACCAAACCTAGTAATGTAACACGAAAGGGACGATTAGTGCAGGTTCCAAGAAGATATGTTAAATTTGACTTAACATGACATCGCACATGACTCAGTCACTGCCAGGGGAGTGATGTGGCGGTTGCATATTCACATTAATGTTTAAAATGATATGGGTTGGCCATGCAAACACGGACAGGTAAATTATTGAACATAAGATGAGTTGGCCATAAAAGAAAATTTTTAGAAATTAATAATATTTTTATTTAGTAAAAATAAGGTTGTCATTCTTTTTAAGGTTTGGGAAAACTAAGAATAAAACAACAGACACGTGTAATTTCAACACACAAAATTGAATAATTATTTCTTGCTTAAACAAATAAATAAAGAATTAAATTAAGTATGATAAGCCTACACATTCTTACAATTGCATTAGTCTTAATAAAGGACAATTTTGGCGTTTATCAGCTTGGAAGGGCGTTGCTCCATTCGGGCTCCCAAGTTAATCTGATGACAGAGGAATTTTCACAAAAACTTATGCTGGCTAAATACAAAAAACCTATAAATATGACTAATATAGGTAATTAGTCGACTAAAATTAAACATCAGATCATAACTACTATTAAATCACGCGTTAATAATCTTGAATGTTTTCTTGATTTTTGCATAACTCCTCACATCGCTTATCAACCAGATTCAGATTTCGACATTTCTGAATGGAAATTGCCAGCGAATACACCACTCGCTGATGAAGAATTCTTTAAATCAAAGAAAATTGACATTCTATTAGGTGCGGAAAGTTTTTTTGAATTTTTATGTGTCGGTCAAATTAAATAGGTGAGAATACTCTTAAAAAAAACCTTATTGGGATGGGTGATATCCGGAAAATACAAATCACACAAGTCATTTATCTCGACTTCAAACTACTCTATTACATCCGAAGAGGCGAATAACAATAATCTTGATATGTTATGGAAACTAGAGGCGTTAAAGGTAAGCTCAAAGCCATGGTCAGCATAACATAAGAGTCGTAAGTCGCTTAATATTAATTCAGTGCATCAAAATGCAGTCGGTAAGGTTGTGGTCTGTTTAATTTTCAATGAAAATCCAAGTTATCTTGGCTCAATTTACAACATTGCGTTACATCGATTCTTTGCATTAGAACGTCAATTATCATTACAACCAAAAATTAAACTTGCCTATACAGAATTTATGAAAGAGTACGAACAATTGGGCCACATGACTATGGTTAATCACCCAAAAAATATGGAACCGCATTACAATATTCTACATCACTGTGTGATAAAGCCTACAGTTACATCTACTCAATTAAGAGTAGTATTCGATGCGTCATGTTGCACAACTAATAATGTTTCTCTCAACAACATCTTAATGTGTTTGACTGACACATAGATGGCGGCACTAATACTAAATAAATATCTTTTTTCCAAAGTGGCAACCTTTTTAGGCTTACTGTCAAAATCATATGTTAATCCGACCATTTCTTTACAAGTTACAGTGCTTTAAGTGACGCTACTTTTGAGTTTTCACAAAAAAAATGAATTCAAAGCAATTCCGTGTGCTGATTTATCATTGTTTTTTAATGAAAAAAAAATACTGTTCAATGCCAGGAATGGCTTAAAAAACATTATTCGGACTCTGCTCCATCAAAAAGAAGTATTTGTTATTGGCATGCCGAATTCAAACGTGGTCCTACAGACACCGATGACATTCCATCTACTGGATGGCCAAATGACGCTGTTATTCCGGAAAACGTTGAAAAAACACTGAAAATCATTATGTCCGACCGTAAAGTGAAAGTGAGGGAGATTGCTGACATTCTACAGATATCAGCAGGCAGTGTACACACCATAATACACGAACATTTGGGTATGAAAAAGGTGTTTTCCAAATGGGTGCCGCGTTTGCTCAACACCGGAGCAAAAACAACAACGAATCGATGATTCAAAGAGCTGTTTGGACATGTTTACGCGCAATAAGTCGGAGTTTTTGCGTCGGTACATCACGATGGATGAAACATGGATCCACCATTTCACTCCAGAGTCAAATCGGCAGTCTGCTGAGTGGCATGCAGCCGGTGAAAGCCGCCCAAAGCGACCAAAGACGCAGCAGTTGGCTGGCAAGGTTATGGCGTCTGTATTTTGGGATGCGCATGGAATAATATTCATCGACTATCTCCAGAAGGGGAAGACCATCAACAGCGACTATTATATAGCGTTATTGGAGCGTTTGAAAGACGAAATCGCAAAGAAACGGTCTCATATGGCGAAGAAAACAATTTTGTTCCACCAAGACAATGCACCGTGTCACAAGTCGATGAAAACGATGGCAAAATTGAACGAATTGAGCTACAAATTGCTGCCGCACCCACCGTATTCTCCAGATCTGGCCCCCAGCGACTACTGGCTCTTCGCAGACCTCAAAAAGATGCTCCGTGGTAAGAGATTTGGCTCAAATGATGAAGTAATCGCCGAAACTAATCGCCTATATTGAAGGCAAAGAAAAATCATTTTACAAAGGCGGTATCGAAAGATTGCAAAAGCGTTGGAATGATTGTATCTCCCTAAAAGGGGACTATGTTGATGAATAAAAACGAATTTTGGCAAAAAAAATGTGTTTTAATTAGTTAGTCACACGCATTATTGAACGAAGTGTTAGGACCAATAATACAACCTGAATTGTTTCATCTATTGCTGCAGTTTCGTCTCTATCGCTATGATACTTTTCGATGAGGAGGATCGAAGGTTCCAATACATCTTGTGGAGAACTTCCGCCGCGGAACCCATACAAACATATGAATTAAACACTGTCACTTATGGTACGGCTAAAGTTCCATTTCTAGCAACTAGAAGTCCGAATTATTTAGCTGATAAATATGTTTCATTACATCCAGTCGGTGCCGAATCGACAAAAACTTAATTTTATGTTGACGATTTTATAGGTGGAGCTAATTCAGTTACCGAACTCACAAAAATTAAGAATGAAATTACTGCTATCTTAGAAAACGGAGGCCTGAAGCCAGAAAAATGACATTTCGTTGATGATAGCACAGTGAAAGACCTTAATCCCGATGAAGGCGCACTTACTAGTACCGTAGGTATTAAGTGGCAACAAGTACAAAATATCGTGCTATTTACATTTAATACTAAATCAAATCCTATTGTTATTACGAAGCCAGTAATTTTATCAACAGCATCGTCTCTCTTCGATCCATTAGGTTTATTAGCACCATCGATAATACTGGCAAAAGTTATTCTACAAGAGCTGTAGCTATTAAAACTTAATTGGGATAAAACCGTTCCACAGAATTTGCATTTAGCATGGAATAACTTTCTTCGTAGCATGATTTTGAACTTTAAACTTTAGAGTGGCTCCCACAAAGCAAAAATCGTTACCGAAATTAGAACTGTGTGCTGCTTTGCTGTTAGCCAAATTATATGACAATGTCATGCTTTGAAGGTCAAATATGTCTCTGGACTGACTCACAAATTGTGTTGCGCGGGTTAAAGCAACACTCTTCAACATTATCGACCTTCGTAGGTAATTGTGTATCAGAAATCCAGGATTACACGACAATGTTCGTGGAGACATGTACCTTCAAAGACTAACCCAGCTGACATTGTATCTCGAGGCACAATAACTGAGTGGGTAAATTCAAATTGGTATACTGGACCATCCTTTTTGTATACCAATCAGGAATTTTGAACACCCAATAAATGCGACGGATTTTGATGTAAATAAAGTTAATAGGGAAAAACGCAAAGCCATCTTTATTCTCGAAAAAAGTAACAATTACCTTCTTCAGGCTATATCTAAGTTCAGTTCGTTTTTAAAAATACTTTGAGTAGTTGCATACATAAAGCTGTTTTGATTAAAAACTTATAAAATCAATATAATTAAAACAAGTGCAGATTTTCTTTCTCCTCAATATTTAGACATGGCATTACATTTCATAGTTTGGACAATATAGCAAGAATAATTTAAAGCTGACATCCAAAATCTTCATAAAAATAAATCAGTAAGCCATGCCCTTAAGTGTCTTTACCCGTTCTTGGAAAATACTTCAGGTTACTTACTTCTAAATGTTGGAGATCAATTGAAATTATGTAATATCACCGAAGGGCAGAAGTATCCGATACTGCTACCCAAAGCGTGCTTTTTGCAGAATTATATGTAAGACATTTGCACCCTACAAATTACCACGCTGGAGCAAAGACGTTGATCGCACTGATCCGTTTGAAATTCTGGATAATCAATGCTAGAGATATAGCACGACATGTAGTCAAGTCTTGTATTCATTGCGTTCGTTATAAACCTAAGCTGCTGCATCAAATCATGGGAAGTCTTCCGGTTCCAGTTAGACGTTCTAACCCCAAGTCGACCCTTCGCGGGGACAGCAGTCCATTTTTGTGGTCCAATTTCAATCTACCTCCATATTCGTGGAAGAGCTCTTAGCAAAACTTATATAGCCATTTTCGTTTGCCTGTTAACTAAAGCTGTGCACATTGAAGCTGTATCAGACCTATCTACAGATGCGTTTATTGCTACGCATATCCCCACAACGTTGGCAAATGAAAGAGTAGTAAACTGCATTCGCAGTAGTGACAAACAAGTTCGCGTAGCTGATGTGAAGACTTCCGATGGATTGATACATCGCTCTGTCACTAAATTAGCCTTACTTCCATTATCGCAAAATTAATTGAAATCCTTTCAAGGTGGCCGGGATGTTGGATCGCCCATTATGTTCGAGGTTTTTAATTTTTATTACTTGAGAGAAAGCTTATGATTATTGAGAAATTATTAAGTGTAAACTTTCTTACTGTTCTTTTGTACAATATAAATTATATCACAATGCATTCAACTCTACTTTCGAACGGTCGTTGTTTTTTTTTTTTGGTTGGTTCTTTACATTTTTTATATTCGTTGTTTATCACATAAACGCTTGTGACATATTTTGCAAATCAAGCAATTCCACAAATATATTTTCTTTTATTTGAATTCCTGATCCTTTATGACATATTTTGTTAAACAAGAAATTTCATAAATATATTTTTATTTGAATTTTTGCTCCTTTATATTTACATATTTTGTTAATCAAGAAATTTCACAAATATATTGTTATTCGTATTTTTAGACATTTATAATGACAAATTTTTGTTTACCAAGAAGTTTTCACAAATAATTTTTTTTAGTTGATTCGCAACTCACCAATAGAGAAAAACACTCCCTGAAGTAACAACCAAAAATCCTCCGGGCAGTCAAACAACAAAACTTTGGCGGGCAGTCAAAACTGTGCTGTTACTAGTTGTAACTTTGTACATTCCGAAATGATTTTGTACAGCTTGGCAGTATTATTTTTTATTCTTATCTTTTCCGTTTAGACCATCTAAAGCTTTCGCCTCATTTCGGTTTGTTTTTAATAATCAAAACAAAGCAAAAAAAGGCAAAAGCCTAAAATCATTTTTCTTTTTGGCGTTTACACATTTGCAAAACACATTTAAATTAAAAAAGTAATTAAATTACATATTCAATTATTAAGTCAAAATTTTAAAACAAAAAAAAAGAAATAAATAATTGTAGAGTTCAAGCTTTTACATAAATAAAATAAGCTTTTTATAAGAGTACAAAATAAGAGAGTAGAGTTCGAATTATAATTAAGTTAGCTTGAAAGCTTGTAAGTTAAAATGAAATTAATAAAACCTAGTCTTAATCGAAACTTAAACGTGAACATTACATTGGCGACGAGGAAAATGTGTTATAAAAATTATTAAAAAATATTAAAAAATTATATGAACTAAAATAAAATTATTATTTAAAAAAAAAAAAAATTAAAATTATCATATAAAAATTATATGAAAAACATTTTAACTCGTGCAAATTAAATTACGCAAAAATTATTATAAAAAAAAAATTTTTGGAAAATATGGCACAAAAAAAAAGTGTGTGTTTCACAAGTATGACCACGTCAGGTGAGCGGGAGTTCAGACCGCAGGTGGACAGTTGGTGCGACTGGGTGGAGATTCTAGACTCCCATTTTATTAAAATGGCTTGTCAGGACGACAAGATCAAGCGTTCGATCCTTTTAAAAAACATTGGAATGTACTCTTATGGACTGCTGCGGGACATCTGTGATCCGGATATGCCTGCAACCAAAACGTATGATCAATTTTGTACACTTTTGGGAAGTCACTTTTTAAAGCCGGTGATTATTTTTCGCGAGCGAAAAAGGTTTTTTGATGCTGTTCGTGAAAAAGGACGAACGATTACAGAGTGGTTTGCACATTTAAAAAAATTGACAAGAAATTGCAAATCGGGGCACTATTAAATTCGTTTGTTCTGAACAAATTCGTTACTGCTTTAGACGGTAGAACATTCTAAAGATTGTGCGAAGAAGACGAGACATTAACAATTGAACGGGCATTAAAAGTTGCAATAATTACGGAAGCAAAAAATGAAGCTTTCAAACAGCAACAAACCCATGATGTGGAGGTTAATGCCCTTTTTAAAAGAAACTTGCATTTCAAGGGCACTAACAGTGCGAGTATGAATAAAGCTTGCTTGCATAGGATGAATGCAAACAGAGGCAGCAGCAGCAGCGGCAACGGCAATAAAAAGCAACGGAAGAGCTATAAACATTATGGGTGGAGAAACCATGCAAGCAGTAGTTGCAAATTTAAAAATTGCAAATGCAATAATTGTGGACGTGTGGGTCATTTGCCCAGTATTTGTTTAAAAAAAAAACAATAAGTATTGTGCATAATAATGAGTGCAACAATTTTTCTAATTTAGTAAATAATTCTGATATTAATGATTTTTCTATTTTTAGTGTAGATGATAAGTGTCATCCAAAGTCACCACCTCCTTTCGTCATTGATGCAGAAGTAAACGGTGTTAAGCTCGCATTTGTGCTAGATTCTGAAGCAGCTTGTTCATTACCATCGAAAGGCGATTTCAATAAACATTTTGGAAGAGTTAAGCTGCAGAAGTGCAACGATCAGTTCGTCACATACAGTGATGATATTCTGGGGATTTCAGGTGAATTAGTGATACGCTTAGCCGCCCTGTTTTTGTAGGGATTTTATGTCACTTTTTGGGATGCAAATAAGCATATTGAGTCAGTTAAATGATAGAGTAGCGCGTCTAAAAAGTACATTTTCTACCGTTTCTGCTGTAGGGTTAGGAACGTATAATGTGCATAAGGTTAAGCTAAGTCTTAAAGAAGATGCAAAACCTGTTTTTTGCAAACCTAGGCCGGTGCCATTGGCCTGGTGTAAAGAAATCGAAAAGCAGATTCAGGATTTGGTAAAAAAGGGTGTTTTAAAATTAATAGAGGATTCAGATTGGGGTACGCCGTTAGTACTAGTGTTAAAGGCTAATGGTGAATAGAGTATTTGTGGCGACTATAAGTCGACCATCAATAAGTACTTGCTGGATGTGAGGTATCCGTTACCTAGGATCGAAGAAATATTTGCTTCTCTTAAAGGGCAGTTCTTCACCAAACTTGATTTGTCAAATGCGTACAATCAGCTTGAATTGGTAGAAGAGTCCCAATGGTTATGTGCATGGAGCACACATTTAGGTATTTTTAAGGTAACCAGATTACCATTTGGTGTTAAGCCTACCGCGGCCATTTTTCAGAAAACTATTGAAAACGTATTGCGTGGTACACCTAATGTTGTTAATTACCTGGACGATAATTTTATATCAGGAGATACTATTGAGGAGCATAGTAACTCCATTGAAAAAGTTTTAAAAAGGTTAGAGAACGTGGGATTATGTTTAAACGCTAATAAGTGTGTTTTCTATCAGAAAACAATTTCCTATTTAGGTTTTGATATTGATAAAAATGGTTTGTCAAAAAACCAAGATAGGATTTCAGCAGTCGTTAATGCTCCAATACCGACCAATTTGTCAGAAGTTCGTGCATTTATTGAATTAGTTAATTACTATTCCATATTTATTCCTAAGTTTGCTGAAATTATGGAGCCGTTATATGCATTGTTAAGAAAGGGTGTTAAATTTAGGTGGGCAAAATCGTGTCACTATGCCTATGAACATCTTAAAAAGGAAATGACATCCGATAGGTTTCTAGCTTCTTTTGATCCCAGTAAACCTATTATTTTACAAACGGATGCGTTAAATGCCGCTATAGCCGGGACCTTGTCCCACAGTTTTTCTAATGGTACAATTAAGCCGCTTGCTTTCATACCTCGAGCACTTTCGATAGCTGAGCGGAATTATAGTGCTATTCAAAAAGAAGCACTAGCCATAGTGTTTGCAGTAACTAAACTGCGACTCTATCTGCTTGGTAATAAGTTTGTTTTGCAAACTGATCATAAGCCGCTTTTATCAACTTTTGATGAAAATAAGGGACTGCCAGTGATGGCAGCAGCTCGTATTTAGCGATGGGCTTTGACATTGTCTGAATTTGATTATACCATCGAGTATGTAAAAGGGTCAGAAAATTTCACAGACAATATTTAGCGTATACCTCAAGCTATGCCTCCTTCTGTAGATACAGATGAAAATAGTTATATAAATTTTATAACAAAAAATAATGAACTAAATTTAGATTTTAAGGTAATTGCGAAAGAAACTGCTCGCGACTCCTGTTTAGCGAAAGTTAAAGCCGCTATTAAAAATGGTAAGTTGCATTTATTAAAAGATAAAATATTTTCGCCTTTTCAAACCAAAAGTTAAGAGCTTTCAATTGAGTGCGGATGTATATTATGGGGTTTTAGAAGCGTAATACCTCATACATTGAAGAACCGTATTTTAAAAGAGTTACATGCATCTCATTTAGACATTGTAAAGACAAAGGCTTCGGCTAGGTCCTATGTTTGGTAGCCTAATATAAATAAGGATATAGAAAGCTTATAGATACCTATATTCCTTGTAAAAAGGTTCAGCCTAGTCCAAAGAAAAGCCCATTAATTCCGTGGGAAATGCCTAGCTCAGTATGGTCGCGCATTCATATTGATTTTGCCGGACCAGTGAGGAATGTTTACTTCTTCGTTGTAGTCGACGCATACTCCAAATGGGTAGAAATTTAAAAAACCAAACATATAACAGCAGCGTTCACGGTGGAGAAATTAGAGGAGTTATTTTGTAGATATGGTTTAGTGGATGCCATAGTAAGCGATAATGGAACCCAATTTACAGTATGGCAATTCCAACAATTTTTAAAAGATAATGGCATCAAACAGATTCTCACACCTCCAGGGTTTCCAGCTACAGCTACATTGTACAACAGAAGAATCAGCCGTCGCTACTACAGGGGAGGATGTGACTAAGGATGTAAATGTAGATAGTGGTTATAATGTAAATGTAGATTAGTTATAAGGAATAAATTATGGATATAATTTAATTTATACCGAGTAATAATTTGTTATTAAATATTTCATAATTATAATTATATAATTTTTAAAGTGAATTAAAATGAATTTCAATTATGTTTCATATATTTTTATATGTTTATATTTTACATTTTTATTTATGTATATCGTGTTCAATTATTATAGATGTATAATTATAATCTTAGGAGGAGAGCACAAAATAAGAGAGTAGAGTTCGAATTATAATTAAGTTAGCTTGTAAGTTAAAATGAAATAAATAAAAACTAGTCTTAATCGAAACTTAAACGTAAACATTACAATAATATGAATGAACGACGGACGGAATAACAAAAAAAATAAATGGTTCAACAACGTGAGGGCCTGTGGACACCAGACTAGGGTAACTACATATAATACAATTCGTTTTAATAATCATTGTTTTTTAGGCCTACACAGCAATGCTACCTCGTCTTTTACGACATTTGCATAATGAAACATTTTATTGATACAAATCAGTACTTACATTTTCTGTTTGAAGACCTTTTTCTACTGGTTTAAGGCCATATTTAAAAATCGCCCACAATGTTGCTGGAACTAAGTTTGCATAAAGAAATATACATGATGCTGCATAAGAAACTAAATGGAAGTTGTAATGCCATTGGAAATTGTCATTAATATGTTGTAAATAAGACGCAATATTTCCACTAATGCCAATTGAAAATATCTGTATAAAAACAATTTCGAAACATTTTTCATTTTGTTTAAACTTAATTTGATTAATACCAGTGTAACCGCAATCCAAAATGGTCCATACATGTCTGGATTTCGTCCTATGTTCGAACGTAGATAGGTAATATCAGCTCTCTGTGGAATGATTGAGTTAACAATTCGCTCTAACACCATATACATATCAACATTAAAAAACTGTTGATAGCATTCTATTGAGAGAAAAGACAGCTTTTCACTACTACAATTTCTGTCTTCTATGAGTACATCTGCGTTATTATTCATATTAACGACAACCTCCATGTCATACCTAAGATCTGAAAGTTGATTATCGCGTGCACAATTATTTTCCGCCCCAAGTGAAAATGTTGGCGAATTTATATTGATTTCTACCGGTAGTGGACTGATATTTGGAGAATCAGAGAAATCTTTAAACTGTAGCAAATCGTTCATACTATTTAACTGCATTTCAACGCGCTGTGTAATACCTTCTAGCTGATTATATATTGCATTCGGACAAAAAATCCATATTTAATCAGCTGATATTTTATGAAGAGAAGATCTTATAAAGAACGGACACTTTTATTTTTTTAAATAAATAGAGAATTTGGAACGAGAAGCATTTTTTATAACACATTTTGTCACACCTATTAATTAGACATGCCTAAATAACTTTAATGTCAATTTTACGCTCTTTATATGTTGCTGTGTAATAATTACTTTGTATTATTACCTGAAATATTTTTCTTTTAGAGTAGTGTATATTAGAGTGTATTTTTTGACACGAATACTCTAATAGAACACGTATCGCTAAAAAATTAACATTAAAGCAAAAACAAAATTTGTAATATAAAGCCCACTTTCCTGGGGGTCTATTCCTCAACTGTGCAAACTGAAGCTGCGTTTCAGTAAACAATGATCTGGATATTCTTTGCTGAAACGGTACGGATCACATGTGAAAGTATTTGGCAACGCATCAACTCAGTTGTTTGCATTTGTTTTGATGTTTTGTTTTGATTTTTGTGAATAATTTTGGTGCTAAAAAAAATAATTTAAAAAATTTTAAGTACAAAAAATAAAAAAGAAACAAATGGAAAATTTGTTTAACTTTATAAATTATTAAATGTAAGTTTTTGTTTATTTTTTACTATTGAATTTAATTTAAATTTTGTAGTAAAAAAATGTATACAAAAAGCAAAGACTATTTCTTTGAATTTGTGTGTCCATTCAACACTAAACAACGCTTCTTCGTATTTAACTACTATTGAACGCCCTTTCCTCTCTATTTCCTCTTAACCCAAAAGAAACCAAATTTTGTAAATATAGAAACAAAAAATTGTACTTCGCTGATTGCCCTTTCGTCTTGATGCAGCAAAACTATGGAAGCATAAGTTCGCAAAACAGAAAATTGTGAACATATAAATCACACAAGCACCCAAACTAGAAATATGAATAGAAAATATAACAACAATTTCTATACTATATCACATACCTTTTCAAATGCACATTCAACAACTCTTTCGTGTGTTTATAACACTTAAGATCATTGTGTTATACACCGCTTTTGTTTGTCTCTTAATTGTTCTACAATTCAAAGCTGATTGTGCTTTTAGCTGATCTGTGTATTATTTGTCTGTGGCAAGAGGTTGTTTAATTTATCTGCCGACGAGGAAAAAAAAGAAATTTTCGATTACTTTAAGAAAAGCAAAAAGAACAGAAATTTTTAGCTAAAAATATTTAAATCCGAATGATAAACACTCGTTTTCATTTTTGGAAAAATTGTCACTATTAAACAAAATATCCATACATATGTGAATGGTTTATGTGAAGTTAGATTTTATAATGGTTTTTATAATAATAAAAAATACTGATAAAAGTGTTTCTAATAAATTAAAGGATACAAAATACTTATAGGTAATTATACATTTATTAAAACAAAGGAATAATTGTCTGGAAAGGTGTGAAAAACAGAGCTTATAAAACTATGGTTAGTAAATTTTTTTAATAAACACAAAAAAGGCAAAAATTCACAAATTTATAAAAAAAAGAATCGATAACTAATTTTTTATGACATAGAAAATATGTATAAAAAAAAAATGTAGTTAAAAAAAAACAAAAACAAAAAAATATCACACCAAAATCAGAAGATTTTTAATAATAACTAAAAAAGTATACCAATAAAATCTACACTTGAAACGTATAAAAAAGTGCAATTAAATCATGCAAGAAAAGGGAATGGTAAATTGACAATATTATAAAAAAAAATATAACAAAACCATTACAGTGAGCAAATTAAATCACAACTAATATAAAAACACTAACAATAATATTAGCAGACTTACTAACGAAAACTGAAATAAATAAAGTAACTAATATTTGAATAAAGTATTAGTGTTGCTGTTAAGCTAGACTTACTTTGTATAGGGACAAAGAAGCTTTATTAAATTTTTTAGACTTGTGAAAAGTAAAGAACAATATGTTAAAATATAATATTGTTCAGCTTTTCCTAACCGCAATAAGCGGATTTGTAGAATAACATAGCATAGCTTCTTTGTAAAAAGCACCAGAATGGTCGCTTTACATATAGTAAGTAAAACAATATGCAGTACAATATGTCTCTACAAAAAGAGTAGCTTTGAAAAGAAATAAAGAATAAGGCAAACCCAAAAAGTTAAACTTTCAATTCGTTGAACTTGTGTTTCCAAAAATAAAGCTGTAGTTTATAAGCTCGTTCTAATTTAAAGCACGGCAAGTGCTTTGGTTGTTGTCACTAATTAAATAAAAAATAAGTGACAATAAAACCTGGAACTTGAGCATTGAAAGTTTGTGCAGCCTTGGCTTCTTGTGGATAAACACGATTAGTCATCGCTTCTAATTTGACAGGCACGAGTTCTAAGCCTGGCACTTGCAGTCCAAACAAATTATATACGGACTATAAACTAATTAAATAAAATTCGATTATTCCCAAAGACCACTGATGAAGAGTACTTGGCAATACTCGAAACAGCGTTGTATGGTCAGCCAAATTTCAATAAAATTAAAAAAAAAAAAAAAAATAAATTTTTGTGTTTGTCCTTTATTTCTTTCTTTGTTATTCGAAAACCCTTCTAAAGTAACTAATATTAAAATTAAATTTAATTCAAATGTATTGAAATTAATATTATGTATTATTAACAAAGTTCAAAAATGTATTTAAACTGAAATAAAAATTAATATTAAAGTAATGAAGTAAAAAAAAAACCAACACAGAGAAGCAGAAAACGATTGTTAAATTGAATATTTAATGTTCAATAACTTGTTTGTTATTGAATCACGTCGAGGTCACCAAAAATGTTCAATAACTCGTTTGGTATTGAAACTGAATCGACACTTGAATCGATTCAGTGTTGCTTATGATTAGGAATCTGGCACTTGAACCAGTTCCTATTGCGAATCCTGAGTTTGGCACTTGAACCAACTTCAGGTGACCTGCTTCTTGGATAATAATCTTATTTAGTGTGGTGAGTAACTAGGCACTTTAACCTATTTGCTTTGAGTCTTAATCGGCACTTGAAAACAAATTAAAATTCCAATGAATTCTAGAATTGAATTACATTTTATTACTAAAAATTTGGGTTTTTATACAAATTTGGCAAGGTGTTGTTACATACAATTCCCACGATAATGCCCTATACCTTAAGCTGCATTAAAGTAGCGATTAGATATCGCTCAACTTAGTCGTGGGAACGGTCACAGTTCTCTTGGAAAATGTATACATTTACGAATAACAAATAAGGAATATTACTTGCGTAATTTCCTTAGACACCTGGTATATGCTTATAAACTTATTTTCTTTTAACCTTGAACTTAGTCCATATACTATCTTGCTTTACAAACATAATTATTATTTTAATAATTATAATACTGACCTTGTACAAACGAATTTTCATTTCTCATAATGTTCTGTATTAAAATATTGCACATGCCAAATGCATGACTTATCTGCAGTTTCATATGACGAGCAAAGTGTGCTCGTGTGATATACAAATGTTGTTGTTGTTTTTGATAAATGTTGATATCCTAACCAAAGAAGATAAAGAAAAGAAACTGAGAGGAAATTTTGAATAATGGTGCCTCTTTGTGTAATATCGCAAAGAAGATCTCTCTTACTTATTTACCATACCAGAATTGTCAAATATTAAAAACGGTGTGGCTTATAACTTAAATATTTACTACATTTGTGGTTGCATATTAGCATGTAGCCATTTCTTCTAATTAGAAGAAATAGTATAAATTATTGTTCTTGGAAAAAATAATTTTTTAAAATTCAAAAAAAGTTTGGTATATTATAATACAATTTTTGCTTGTGCATCAAATTTTTTCAATATAGAGAATCGTAAAAATGTATATACTGTTTACTACTACATATTTTTTGTAGTTTTAAGCAATCCTTTCAGTAAGGTGAAATGTTTTTTGTATATGAAATTCAAGAAATTCTTAACTAGTTAATAACAACATTGTAAACAATAAGGATCAATTTCATCGCATAGTGTTAGAAGAAATATTAAATATATAAGCATTTTCCGCACCACCTAAGAGGTATGCTTGCTGGCGCGTTACCGAGTTTTAGGTGTTCGGTTCCCCAATAGGCCTATCCAACAAAATGTTTTATTTAACAAATATACATTTTTATGTGAATACAATTTAGAATAACTTAATATATACAAAATAATATTACTATTTTAAAAATATTTAATATCAAACCAAAAATAATAAGGAACTATTAAATTAAAGATAAATTATAAATAAATTTAATAAATTATAAAATTAAAACTAAAATGTTTTTTGTTTAAGCAAAAAATCACTTAAAGAGTATGAACACTTTTGTGCTGTTTATAAGTGTTGAAAGCATAATTGTTTATGTTTAAAATTCGACACTTTATTATCTCGATTGAAATATTTTAAAATGAAGTAAATTCTTACTTTAATGAAAAAAGATAAAAGAGTTTCAATTTTGCAATTAGAGCAACATATATAGGGATGAACGTTTTTTAATTTATTAAATAAATGTTGCGCTAAACCTAATTTATAGCAATTGCTATCGAACTGATCCGAAAATTGTGATTCTAATTTTTCAATATATGTAGTAAAAGGAGGAGGTGGTTGAACTAAATGGCAATTTTGGAATTGCTTTTCTATGATGAAAATATTGGTTACTGAAAGGTCACTAATATGTGGAAAAGTCGACAGACAATTATGATTCGTTTGCATTTTTAAAAAAAGCCATCCACATATATAAGAAAAAGCATTACGATTTAAAAATATTTTAAGGTCTACATCTATATTAAAATGGCAATTATTAAGAAATGCGTTCTGAGCTTTATTTTGGTCTACATCTTGCCAGGAAGTATCTAAAACAAGTTTATCTGCGCATGAAGTTGACAGGAAAGGGTCTTCTAAGTTTGTTGGTGACGAAGTGGATGGCAAGTTAATATTAGGGCAGTCAAAGTCAGGGAAATATTCGCAATTACCGTTAACAATGTTAACATATTGCAATCCCCATTTTTTTTGA